AAAACTCCAACGTTTAATAACCGTATTTATTGCACACCATCAATTTTCACAACCGCCAGCGATGATCGCGTACATCTAAGAGCTACGCAGTCAGCAATGTCCCACACGCTTCTCTTTGCGGTGTCTGTTACAGGGCGATATTTGGTTACGAGTATCTGTAGGAAGAGCACGTACTGTGCCTATGTAGCGTGGCAAATTTCCGTCAAGACTTACACATGACGAGATAACGTTACGTTGATTCATCACAGTTAAGACGGTTCAACGAAACTCCGTTGCTACTTTACTGCTCTCGGTGAGAAGCAAACGATCCGAGTTTAGGCACCTTAAATAAATATACTTCAATAATTGTTTTGGTTTGCACCATCGTGATGCCAAATTGATGAAAGTTGGTCATACGCAACACAAAATAATCATTAGCGTAATTGGGGAGAATATAAGTTAACAAAATAGATGAGCAAATAATGTCTCCCCCCGACGTCTGTCTCTCCACATGAACTAATAAAATAGCTTTGTCATAGCAATGTAGAAAATAAAAAGAACACTCTACTCCTTAGACAATTGAAGATTGATTCGAATTTTATTTTCCTGTATAGTTTCAGCTCAACTGCCCTTTATTTCAACATTTCTAGATATTTAGATGTTTGGTGTGGTTTCCATAAATTATACAGCAAAGCCGAAATGCACATATAACAACGCCCATATGTACAACACGTGAACCTATTGATATAATATTACAGTGATAATGTGTTCTGTGTTATAACCGTGCTATGATAACGACAAGTTTACACATGTGCTCTTCTTCTATTAGATGGTAAGTTTAGGCTTAGACAGAAAAGAATAAACCTTTCACTTACTCACCCAGCATAGCTCACTCAACATTGAGGCTGACGGACCACTCAGAAATGTGTTATGAAGTCCACCGTGTGGTAGACAGACAGTGGAATAGCTATCGAGTGTGCAAGCTGTGCTACTGCACCATAGCCCACAGGACCAGAAGTCAGAAGGGTCAAGGTTTCAAGGACGCCATGGTGGCGAGATGTTAATTACCTCACCTGGTATACAGGAGGTTGTGGATTCTAATCCCAGCCCTGACAACTCTATATTTAGAGTTTGCATGTTTTCTCTTCCCGTGGTTTCGTGGATTTTTTTCTCCGAGCCCTCCGATTTTCCATATACATTTCTAAACATGTGTTTATAATATTTGTTGCCATAAATGTACACGTCAAAAACCATTTCGTTCAGCTATCATTTGTGGTCAGGTCACGTGTGAAAAAGGGCTACATAACTCAGTGGGCCTTACCTATTAAAACAAAAAAAAAGTTACAAAAAATGTTGTGGCTACAAAGAGGGTGGAAATTGGACAGGGGGGGGGGGGTATTTCCGAAGACCAGGGCCCATGGTGAACACACCTTGCCACTAGTGGAAGGAACACATTTGATAGATACATTTTTGTAAAGTATTTTAGCATTCCCTGTTTGACAAAACCAGGTGATGTAACCCTTGCTAAAAGAGCGTCAACGGCGGGCCAGGTCAGAGCTTATTCTGAGTCATCCGATTTTGACAAGACAGGACTCACTTTGTCAGTTCCACCCACTAACTCTGCTCATCAAGCTTAATAATAATTCCAATCACTTAAAAAATAAATATAAAATTATCTGTACCATCATTATCGTCGTTTTGAATGTGAAGATTGTTCCATGCATCTCCATAAAGCTCATTTCAAGAGAGGTCTCATGCCCTTTGTACTGGGATGTTTATAGTAATTACTAATTATAGTAATTTTGCCATATAAATTTGGCTACAACACTGGCAGACAATGGCCTACTGATATGAATATCATCAAAAACCCTTTTATGTCTTAGAGTTATTAGATTGAATGTCCTCCCCAGAGGACCAGTATTATTTTTTGATAACAGTCTTTGCACATATTATTTTGGGGCTGACACCAGTGGCTCAGTTGGTGAACCTCAGATGCAGAGGTATTAAAATTATATTTCTCGTAAGCATGTAGCGATTCGTCCACACATGATTGTTTCAATGAATAGTATGTATTCAGGGTAACGATTCCATTCGACAATTATACTCTTCTATAAAGTGGTGAATATAGCGGCCTCTAGTGGTAGTAGGGGCAAAGTGAACTAATTACATACAACATACACTGTGCAAATCGAAAAACCCCGATTCCTGTACTCGTGATATGACGCACGTATCATGAGCTCCAGCCGGTATCGACCAATCGATACATCATATCATCAATAATTTATAGGACACGTGGAGTTGTCACTCCAGGAACTGTAGCGTTCATCATAAGAACAATCTGCCATTATCTACTGTTAGGTAATTTTAAATAAAGTCTCGTAACAAATTACCTTTGACAGCTCTTTGTTGATCAACCACTGAACGGAGACTTTAAATTGGTGAAGAGGACAGAGAGGGGCAAAACCGGTTCAGATTTCACTTGCTACTTATGCTCGCTCTGGCCAGGAATCAAACTCAGGTCAGCGGGTTCATAGTGCTTTGCACAGATTACTGCTCCCACAACGTTATATTAATTATGCATGAACAAGATTAATAAAGGCCTACAAACCACATTTTAGGCACCTGGAATAGGCGAGTACACTTTAGATATTTAACTACCTCTTACAACACAAAAAAACTATCCTTCAAAATTACAAAATGGGCACAGATGTGCAGATTTTTTACTTGAATTTAACAGATTATAGTGCAGCTAGCTCGATTTACAGTACTTGGTTTATACTTACTCAGATCTTCTAATAAAAAAACACTTAAGTTACGAGGGACTACAGGTCATCTCGTTATAAAGATTATGGCTGTCAACAGGGTTGTAGCAAGAGCACATCACAGCCCTTTACAATCAAGTGAACTGTATGACAGGATTTCATTAGGGTTCTTTATCCTGTATTTAACCAGGCATAGTCCAATATAGGTATTTTTTTGTAAGACTTATCCGTGTAAACATTTATTCATATTTAGTCGGTGTTTTTTTCCCTGTAAGTTTGTGATACGGGCTACAGCACCAACGCAGGCGGCTTGCCTCTACAAATATCATCAACATCGTCGTTACCATGATCCCATCTTGTGTATCTGGTACGCTCTGACTGTGTGAAAGTCGCATGTAAAAAAGCATTCGCTCAATAAAATCAATCATCGTATCATCTTTCATTTATCCACAGCTGGATGAAGCCCTCCCTGTTACTAAAGCCATTCCTCATGGACCTGTGATCCTAAAATCCATCTCTCATGCATGAGCTGATCTCAGGTTACTCATCTTGTCCATTGGTCATTATCTCTTTGAACAGATGTCTTGTTCAAGCTCACTTGTATGACTCGTCAACACTGCCTCTGCATTGTGTTAGTTTCCGAATAAACACAAATGTAACAAAAACGCCTAAGTAATGTTTTTGTACTTAGCAAAACCTGTTTTGCTGCACCTGCATATTTGAATACATTTATTGCACTGCGTGTTAAAAGAATCCAATGAATCGTCGTCATCAGCAGTGACAATTTTTGATTCTATTTGTGTCTTCATGGCTTTACAATGCGGCAATTTGAGGTGCGCGTATTTGTACCGCGGAACCCGATATGTCATCTGACCGGTTGGGAAGACACTCAATCAAGCATCTCAGTGGGAGGTGGTGAAGTGGTCTGACGCATATTTGTCAAGAGATAAATAATAATCTGATTAAAGCCCGTGTATTGTATTCGTGGCACCATATTGCAAGCCATAAGTATGCGCCATTTGCAGGTGCATATTCAGCAACTATGTTCAAGAGTTATATATTACAAAACATTATAATACTCGATCATATTCACCTCTTTGAACAAAATTACTGTTATTATAAAAACAAACTTCCCATTAGTAACGCTAATTATACTGTACAGTATATAGATATTATGCAGAGACCAAGCAAGATATTATTTATGGACCAGTTAATGTTCAGTTAATATTCAGTGCACCATGTCTGGTTAATTTGCATTGTGAGGTCAACCATGGGTGATAATCGTTTAAGTACCCCACATGTATTTATCGATAATTTATAGGGTAAGGATTTGAGGTTAGTTTGGTGCTATTTTGGTGAGTTTTTGGTTATAGATTGGTGAAACTGTAAACCATTCAAATGATACCTTTCGCACTGGCTGAAGTGCATTTTTCCAACACGGCATACAGTATTTACCACAAACAGGTTTTGTAAAGGAACTCTTCTTCTGTTTGTGATCTGTTTACCGATTGCAAATCCACACAGACAGCCTTTGGCTTCACCCATGCAGTGCGTGTCAATTTGGCAGCAGTCGATGTTATGTCGCCCGGCTGTAGGAATGGAAATTGCAGGACACTGCGCCGCCGCAGTGGATGTGAGGCGTGCAGTGGGGGTTTCCACCTGTCCTGGTTCTCGTAGAATTGTCCTATTGTTGTGGTACCTTAAATAAGATTTTAATTCGCTTGTAAGCACTGACGTGTTTTGCTTGGAGTTTTTAAATTTGATATTTGTGTCTTTTAAAAAATTCCAATGTGATTCTCGTCGCAAATTATAATTTGATGTCATTTTGTGGCTTTGGGGGCCTCTTGCTTCGTGCCGTTGTATGTATGTACATGTTGAACTTCTTTTGCACCGTACGTAGCCAACCGTGCTAATCACAGCTGCGGGAAAACGCTGTTCAGCGCTTTGCCGTGCCATTTGCATCACTTACGCTGGATAAAAGTAAACTGTTATCGTTCGCTCTCCTGCAAAATCTGTCTGCGGGAACGTTTTTTTGTCAGTTGCGTAACAATCCGCCACTCAGGGCAATTGATATTTACTCTCAAAATTGCAAGATATTCTTCTTCTCCTTCCCATGATACATCCCAGTAATTTTTGTCTTGTTTTTGTTGTTGCACCTCAACCTTGCACCTTGCAACCACCCTCGTCTCCCCGGAGGTGCCCTCTTAACGCTTGTGCGCGTCTTCGCTCCCCTACCACCACCACCCACCCTCTCACCAGGGCTGGCTGTGCGAGCTGCTGCGCTGGAAGGAGACGCCCTCGCCCGAGAACCGCACCCTGTGGGAGAACCTGGCCACCATCCGCCGCTTCCTGAGCCTGCCCCAGAGCGAGCGAGATGCCATCTACGAGGAGGAGGCCGGCGCGCACCACCACCCACCCACGCTGCTGCAGCAGCAGCAGCAGCCGCCGCCGCCGGCAGCGGCGGCGTCGCACGCCGCTCACTTGACGCACGCCGCCATGGCCACGCAGCCCTGCCTGCTGCCTCACCCCGACGTACTGCCGGTGATTTACCTGTTGCCCCCCCCCCCCACCCACCCACTACCACTGCCAGCCCCCACCACCACCAGCCTCCTACCAGCTCAGCCCCCCCTCCACCAGCCCAGCCTCCCCCCTCTCACCAACGCCCCCGCCGCCCAAGCCTCCACCCACACTCCACCTTCCCCCTCTGTGTGTCTGTCTGTCTGTGTGTCTGTCTGTGTGTGTGTGTGTGGTGACGTCACCGCCACTTAGTGGCGAATGGCGGTTGTTGTTGTTGTTGTTGTGTGTATGTCTGTGTGTGTGTCTGTGTGTCTGTGTGTGTGTGTCTGTATGTGTGTGTGTCTGTGTGTGTCTGTGTGTCTGTGTATGTGTCTGTGTGTGTCTGTGTGTCTGTGTGTGTGACTTCATTCTTATTCTCTCAGACTTCATTCATAATACTCTTAGGTTATTTCGGTAAAGTCACGTAGGTAAAAAATAAAATAAAAAATAAAAGTAATAGAAATAAAATAAAAAATCACGACGTTTCGGAGGCAACACAAGTCTCCGTCATCAGGTGGGACCGTCACAGCTAAATTTACTGTATCAAGTGAGGAAAAATCCAAGAGACCAGCTCTTAAATACACATCCCCCTTAACTTGTAACCTAAGAGTATGAATCCTTGCAAGTCACGAAAGCTTCAAATCTAGAATTCATTCATAATCTCCCTTCAGACTTCATTCTTATTCGATGACTTTATTCGCATTCTTCATGATTCCATTTGTACTATCACGACGACTTATATCTTAATCTCTGCCTTCATTCCTCGAGCCTTGCGACGTCATTATTATCGTCTCCAACTTCATTCTTCTGTCCTTGTGTGTGACTTCGTTCTTGCTCTCTGTCATTTGCTCAAGCATCCCCCTCTCCCCCTCCCCTTGGGAGCCTCACCCAGAGCCGGTGTGTTTATTCCTCGAGCTTGTGCTTTCACCCCATCGGGGTTTTGTCAGCTGTAGCAGAGTGCATTCATTTGTCCTCAAGAAATAATGATAGTTTTATTGTCATTGTGTATGTGATTTAGACAACATTAATGTAATGCTGCAGTCATTTAAGATATAACATACAAACCGCACCACCAACTCCATATATCTTTTTTTTGTATTGGTGTATGCATCGACCTAACATGCATTTCTAATTGCATTTAATTTTATTCGTGAGGCAAATTTATCACTTACTCACATCATTTGTATTTTCATATAATTCCCATCAAAATATACTGTAAGCCAGCAGTGATTTGAATCTCGTGATACAGTCCAACCAAATTCTCACCACTTGAACATCTAACCTTTATCATTCCCAGTGCGAACATTGAGCCATCCCTATCTCCGCATGCTGTTGATTTGCACGTTTTAACTTTTAAGCAGTAAATCATCTCCTTTATCAATCACTGGCATCATCGTCATAATGAAACCGTGCAATTCTTTCCCCTAGCCCCTTGCAAGCTCAGGGACCATCTGCAGTCATCAACAAATCATTTGTTATTGCCGTGATAATGTTAGACTGCCAAGCTGCTGCCATCATCAGCATCAGCTTTTCCTCTCCCGGATCACGCCAATAAGCCACTGCACATAGGCAAGCACGACCAGGTAGCCAACCGGTTTCAGCTTCATTGCCTCACTGGTCAGTGCTCAACACCGTCACCTCTGACCTTAGGATCTGCATCCAGATAATATTCAAGACACCCTGAATCCGAATACAAGAGGCCGAGTTTTGTTTGCACGTTGATCACAACCACCGTTCTGCTGTAGCTCACTTTGCCTATTTTCTCCTCGTTCATAGAACCTTACTCAAATCAAGAAAACCTTTCAAACTCTTATCTCTTACGACTTTAAAAAGTGCTGTTTGGTGCAAGCCCCACTTGGTGCTGTGGGCTTTTATGTCTGTGATCGGCAACCATGGTTTAAAACAGATGTGTTTAGAAAATTATTCGATAGACAAAACATTCTCGTGCTAGTTTGTCATTATTTTATTTGTAGTAATGATAAGTGGAAATATTCTTTACATTATTGTGCACATTATATAGGAAAATATTTTTTTCAGGATGCACAGCTGTGTGTGGTGCCTGTCATCGACAGTATAGATAAATTATAAAGCTTGGAAAAGCCATATTTACTTTTTCTTAACCATTATATTTGTTAATATATTTCATGCAGTGTCAATTTAAAAAAAAATAAGGTGCACATTCAGTATGCCAGTTGTGTCCCTCCCAAAATTTCCAGAATACTAAGTAACACATTTATTTAAATAACTCCAACAACTTACGGACACCACTTGGAAACACAAGAGTGTATGCTCATATATCTCTCGGGATCGAAATGGTTCGAACAACGGATTGCTTGTGGGACATGTAATTTGATCAATGGAAATCAGACGTACCAATGAGCCTAGAGAGTAAAGTTTTCAATCGGTGCATATTACCCGCCATAACGTACACAACTAAACAACATGGACACCGAAAAAATGATCTGGAACAAAGCTTAAAAGCAAGCAACAATAAGCACAGAGACGTTCTTGCTTGGAATTACATTGGGAGATAAACCACAGATCAGGTGGGGTGGGGAGCAAACTAGAGACACCATATTAATAACACTGGTCAACAAAAAATAAACGTTTTTTTCTGGCCTGGACTTTTGCAGCTGTTTTAGACTAATTTCAGGGTGCTGATTCCAAATCTGATCTCAGATTTGCTCTATCACATCTCATTTTTATGCTATCGGCATACCCCATTTTCATTGATTTTACCCGAAATTAACTCTGTCACTTATGATTGCAAGTTGTTGCGAGTCAGTGACTGCTTTAGTGTTAAAATATGGTGCTGTATTTTTAGGATAGTGTGTTTATAATATCATTTTATGTAGATATCCACATTTATTTAATATTTTTCTTCAGCAGTTTTTATTGAAAATGCACTATTTGATATCTCAAAAACCTGATGTGATAGACAAATACTGATGCCAGATTTGGAATCAGCACCCCAAAATTACCTTAAAACCGTTGGAATACCTTATGCCAGAAAAGGTGTGTTGACCAGTGTAATTGCCTTGGACAGGACACACCTTACTGGGAGCAATCATGGCTGGTAATAAAGTGGCAGCCGAAGGGGAGAACGCACCCGAGGTGATGAGATGTGGTGCTGAGATCGGCTCGTGTGCAGGAGGAAAGCAGACGCATTGTGGAAATCGCAAGATCATGTTCAATAAATGGTGACGAGATGGGGAGCATATAGATAACGGCTGACGATGCTGACAATGACTTGGTGTCGGTGTTTCTAATTGAGAACATAAAGCTAGTCCACAACGTTATGGGGTTTTTTTTTACACTCGCGGTAACAGAAATGAGAGATAAAGATCAGATAAAAAGCATTTAACAATCTGGTTTTCGCATACATCATGGTATTTTAATATTTTGTATGAATTTATCTTAAAATTAACAATGCAAAAAAGGTGTTTTACGATAAACGCTATAAATGGAAACACACGGACATTAACACCTTAAACTTTCCCAATTTTCTTTTTCAATCTCCATTTGTTTTCCACAAAATGAGCACATGTGTTTACAAACAGCATGACCTTCCAACTACTGTAGTTTTACAAGAGGTTTTACAAATTTATATCTTTATCTGGAAGTATTTTATTTTGTCTAAGCATAAAATTTAGAACCAAATTCATCTCCCGTTTTGCAATTAGAAAAAGTATTTAAAGACTTTGAATACAAAAAAATGCGTGAAATAATTCCCCTACATTTGGATTACACTTCATTTTCCCCTTCGCAAGTGTTTAGGAAAAAAACACATCAAATGTGTAGACCATGTCTCAATAACGTGCAATACTTATACATATATGTGTACATATAAAAACGCGCAGGGCTGACATAGCTCGTGGTATGAACCCGGCGAACCGAGTTCGATTCCCGGCCACGGTCATCGTCAGTGGCGTTATCAGAACCAGGTCCATTTCACTAACCTACGCCGACCGGCCTGGTCGAGTGTGGTCAAACAAGCCCCCACGGCCAACAGGCTGGCAAAAACCAATGAACGGCGACGGGGGAGGCCTCCATCAGCTGTGCGTTGACAAGGGTGGGATATATACGATAATAATAATTATTTATATAAACGTGTGTTGTGCTCGAAGCGTTCCTGACATCCCCCTGTTTCTGACCTTGCGTAGAGGGAGGTCTCACGATTTTGCATCTCTGGTGGTTGGAAGGTCTGTATGCTACCATATATCAACTCCTAAATTCACGTCTTCCCTCTTACTTAAAAACTTAAATCATATACTTATGGTCACGTTAAAACATTCTCGAAAGCTGATCGTAGACAGACTGCGCAAGACTCGATTACATCCATTTAGATTTTCTCTGCACTCGGTAGAGTGTTTTTTTTTGCGGCATGCATATGCAATCCTGTTTGTTTTGCAGCTGAGCGTGAAAGGGATATCTTAGTTTTATTTTACTGTGTCCATATGCTCCAATTGCTAACAAATAAGCGTTTTTTAAATGAAGGCAGAGACAAGAGTGAGCTAACCAACTGTGGTCACCTGCCTTTAAACATCTTAGCTTTCCTTATTTTCTGAGAAGAGGCAACCACCATATCAGCTGATTTGAAATTCCACTGATAGAGCTTAACCATAAACATCATCAAACACATCTTTTTGGAATGTGTAACACTTTGCATGAAATTCCCATGATAAAACGAGTGTACTCTTGTTCGTTGGTTTCTGCTCGCCTGTTAAAATAACTGAGATATAGTGCAGCCGAGAGAGGCCATGCGTTCAAGTCGCATCAACTGTGCCCATCATCTTTCTGGGGTGGGTAAAACGGGCACCGAATGGCAGAGCACAGTTGGATGTAGAAGGCAACAGTGGTCGCCCACCATGAGTGTATGGGATTCACACATAGAGTTCAGATAGTACTCACTTTATACTTTTTACAAGTAAAAATATTTTCACATCAAATATGATGGTGATAATTACATTTCTGGAAAATACGGATTTGGCATGGAATGCAACACGAATTAAAAAAAAATACATATGATGCCTAGTTAGTGACACACTCATTAGTAGCCTAAACCGAACCACTGCGAAAGCTGAAAAACAGCAGCTCCAGCAGAATAACTGTGTAATTGGTAGTATGGTAATGTCAGCGTCCGGGCTGTGGTTTCAGTGGTGTCGTGCGCTTTCCCGTGTCCTCAGCCTCCCACAAGCCAGCCGCTGGTGCTGATCCAGGGCGATCGTCTGGCCGTCGCGACCAGACCAGCGGCCTCTCCTCCCCCGCTGCCTCCGGCTCGTGACGAGGACGCGAGCAGCGGAGGAGGCGCAGGCCCGCCGTCCATCCCCAAGGCGCGCGTCCGCACACGCATCTCCGTGGAGGCCCTGGGCATCCTGCAGAGCTTCATCCAGGACGTGGGGCTCTACCCGGACCAGGAGGCAGTGCAAACGCTGTCGGCGCAACTGGACCTTCCGCGGCACACCATCCTGAAATTTTTCCAAAATCAACGCTACCAGGCGAAGCACCATCAGCGAACGATGCGGGAAGCGTTGCAGGAAGGACAGGCGGCACACGAGGCAGGCCGGCAGCAGCAGGAGCAGCACTGCGGCGAGGCAAGCGGCGCCAGCGGATGCAGGGATGAGTCCGACGGTGGGATGAGCCCAAATGCCACCGGCGAGATGATGATGGACGACTCCATGGAAGATAGCGACGAAGGAAGTGACGCGTACCATGAGGTGGACACGCACAACAATGATGACAATGAGGATGATGAGGATGAGGAGGACGAGGTAGAAGATCACCATGCCGCAAGCCCCGAAGTGGAGGCGCACAGAGAAGTAGAGCAGAGCAACTCGGAGTAGTCACGCAGTGGCTTTTAAGGCAACACTAGGAATTTATGTTTTTACATGATGGTAGACTCGTTCAAGTTAGAGTGAACAAAATACTCTGCTGATAAGTCTGCATTCCCGACATGAAGATGCATCTTCAGCTCATTTACATTTTACGAACAGCAATTGTGAATGAACTTGTATAATTGTTCACTTTAGAAGGCAGCTTGAAACATGAAGGACGGGAGGTAAGGGAGAGATGAATAGATTTAAAAGTAATATAATGTTGAAATTGATGTTGTCTGTGTTGGGTAGTCGATATATATTTAAGATTAGATTTTGCAGTCATTCATAGTAATTCTGTTTCATTATTAAAATAGCTGTGCCGCCAATTTAAGTTAATAAAATAGCTATTTTGAATTTTCAAAATCACAACTGGCAACAGTGAGTTTAAAAATCCTTTAACAATAATTCCAGTTGAAGCTAAACTTTCATTAAAGCTGGTACAATTGCAGCTTAACAGTATATATACGATGGTAAAAGATGTAACAAAATCAAAAGGGCTTTTTTTTTATTTGCTTTACTGTATTTTCTATTAAAATTCCAAAAGAGCCATGCTCACATGATTAGCAATTCGATATCGACTGCAATCTCTAAAATGCAGATGTCATTAACAGCCAGCCACACAGATCCCCTCCCGTCTGCGTAGACGAGGTTTAAAATAACAAGTCAACAATGACACGGGAGTAGCATCATTTCCTTTAATAAACGCACCATCGTTGTGAAGCTGACGTTGCAGGTGACAACCAATGCGTGTGAGCATAGAGCACATTGAGAGTCAGACAGAGATAATAATCCGGACAGGGGTCACTGAGCATGAAAAAAGGAGGGACTATTTGTACTTGGCAAAAACAATTATCAGAGTGATCTGAATTGGCTCGCTGCGTTAGTCTGAAGTCCCGAGAGATTAAAAGTGCTCAAGAGAAAGATCCACGTGTTCTGGCGCACACGCCGACTGACAAGAGATGTATCTCGTCCCTGCAGAATTAGAAACAGATTTTACAACATAAGTTTTGAACGGGGATAATGAATAATCATAAGGAATGAATCCGAGGCGAAAAAGCACCTTAAACATAATGTCAAATTGTGTTCGTTGGCATTTGGTGCTGGGTGTTATTGATGTATCTAATTAACTGAACATTATTTTTTTTTACCATCAAATTCAGGTGCATTACTTACTGTGCAGTATTACAGTGCGTAGGTGTTAGGGGTACCCCTGGATGCACATCTTGAAATTCAAATGATATTTGTTTGTAAAACGGTGGGTGAAGCCAGCGGAAAACAGTTGGTTGATGAGGACAAATAATTAGTGCTGATGTGATGGATTGATTCCCTGATAGTGGCAAACCTACGGCTGGGCCCAGCAAGCGCTCTCGAGGTGGTGATTAACAGCCGCGCGTCTAAACGGCACTTAATAAAGACTGATTCGGCTTGCCGGCCTAATCGCTGGGCATCCGTCACTCCAGCCACCATCGTTAAGTGCTCGAGCACCGCAGATGTTTACCAATGGACCGAAAGGAAGGGGGGGGGGCACGGGGGCGGGGGAAGGAACGCTCGCATGGTCAGAACGCGCACCTTAATGGCACTCGTGAACAGTTGACTTCCTTGAGTTCCAGTTTAAAGGGCAGCAATCAGCTGCTCCATTGTATACGTTACGAAGGTGTGTAATTTTGTTTAATTTGTCTTACTTAGGCTGGCTCACGTCCGAGATTTTTTTTCACGTGGAGTAACCCTTGCACACAATTCACGCGTACGCGTCCTGTATCAGCGGCATCGTGATTATTTTACGAAGCGAATGCGTTGATTTACGTAGGGCTGTTGTTCATTGTGTGTTCGGAGAGAATACGGACGGTTGACTGTGCTAATGCGTTATTGCGTCGAACGGAGCGCTTCAACGTAACCTGCCTTACTGCGGTGTGTGGCTTCAGAAGGCGGCGTGTTGGGGACCTCCTTTGTACATATAACAAGGTGACGATCGGTGGAGATGCACACCATTAAATAACTATTAAAGCTCGTGTAATTTTGCGCGATTAGAAGCTCTTAACGGGAACACTTTGAGGATATTTATAGGTGAATAAAACTTGACTGGGTAATTTGCCTTTACATTTTCAAATGGACACTGATAAATGTGCGTGTTTGCAGCCTGCCCGAAGTGTTTGTCTTTTTTTCTTGCTAGCCCACATGCCCAAAAATGATGATGAATCATGCCTAGGGAGGACAGAGATGTCTCCCAGTAACTAGTTATTATTATTATTATTTTTGTCGTCGTGCAATTTTTTTAGCACCAAAATATGTTTGGTACAATAATCACAACGAAAGCTTGCATGTATTCAGGCAATAATTCCAGAAAGAAAGAAAAAAAAAACAATATTCCGTAATTGTACGTTCCAGTAATGAGCGGGGATTTTTTTGTATGATAGAAATGTCATCAGCTTGAGATAGTTTGGTGCGAGATTTTCTGTTTGGCAACAAGACGTAAAGCTTCATGATGATTCCTCTAATTAATTCCCAGATGACACGTGCCAACATGATTAAAGCCCATGATTGAATCATATAGGTCTTATTCCAGCTGTTTCCTTTGTTTGCTAAAATTTTTTTTTCGTAAAAAAAAATAGCGATGCAAATAAACAAAATAAACTGTGTACCAAGCTAATTCTTATATATTAATTCATTATTTTGATCACACAAACTGTGTAGTGAAATAAATTATTTATCAAAACACTTTTGTTATATTTGTATTATGTGCTGTATATAGTTATATGAAGGCAATCGTGTATATTTAATATATACATGGTAGCAAGGCTTAATTTCTCTCTATATTTTACGGAATGCTGCTAGGCTGGCTTGGAGTGGGGATTATTGGTGTAAGGCACTACCACTAGACTACGAGGTATGCCTATCCATAATAATCAACATTATTATACACCATCTTCCTATAATCTTAGGAACAGGTTTTTGAAAAATATGATGCATATTAAGGTGTGATGAATGAGGCTGGGTGTCAAAATATTTGTCGGGATGGCGTTTAAGCTGAAATTAAGCGCTGCACAGAAGAATACACACACACACATGCACCGATTCACGTGTGCTGTGAAATATGTCCACGGTGGTTTGGCACAATGCACTGCATCCCAGTCCATGGTCTCCACAGCAATGACTTGTCCGAGGAAACCGCTATTCGTAGCCGATGTTGCCCTCCGTTAGGTTAGCTCCAGCTAAAATGAACACTGACTGCAATGATGTGTCAACAGATGTTCTCTAAAACAAACGCTCACCCCCATTATCTTTGTATGTCTATGTGCGGGGCATCTGTTTTTGTTGTTGTTGTTGTTTGATGGGCATTAATAAATGCTGACTCGGTCATCGTACTTGCAGGTAGTTTAACCAAGGTAACATGGGAATCGCGTTTACCTATGAGAGAATTTGTGTCCATGTCGATGCATCATTCGCGTTGCTTACCCTTCTAAAAGGGTCCCTTGTTCTTTGGGTTGTGACAGAAGCTTAATGGTCAACTCTTGATAAAGTAGTCATTGGGTTCTCAAATTTCAATATCGTGTTGAGTTTAAAACTCGGACAACTTTAAATTTTGACTTAAAACTTTCGTGACTGCAGGAATTCATATTCTTTGGTTCTTTCGGTAAAGACACGTAGATAGAAAAATAATGATCAAAAAATAAAGTAAATAAAAAAAATTATGTAGACTGTAGCCTGTCGCCTACAGTGTACATGAGTGTTTTATTTTTCTTGTATTTTTATTATTTTTATTCACTTTATTCTTTTTTTTATCTACGTGACTTTACCGAAAGAACCAAAGAACATCGATCGACTTTAATTCACTTAATGGCAAATGTGCCAACCACCAAAGTGACGTGTGTGTTCCCCAATTTGGATTAAATTGGGTGGTTGGTAGGTGCAAGTATGAATCACTCCAGTCTGAAAAATACACAGGCACCTCTGTTGACTCCATCACAGAACCTTCTCCACCCTTGGAGTTTTTCAGAACTCTCAGGTTGTACCACAGATGACTTGACAATGTTGTCAATAATGTTGAACAGCAGTTGCGTGTATTTTGTATGTGAAAGACAGCCAAAACATTTCGGGAATGTTAATGATTTGCTTGGCTGTTTTTTGCAGGCGAATTTTTGAAGACCCCATCTTCATGTTTTACTCATAAAATACAAACTGATCGTATAGATAACTTTGATAAAATATTACATGTTAGTCTGTCAATGCTTTTATTATTTTACAATGTCATTGTTGAAACGTGTTTACTGTACCGTCCCGTGCGTGCGTGACTTAACGAGGAAGATACACGTGATGTCGAACAGGCCTGGCTGATAAATGTATGCAGTGTATGTATATTGTGTGTGTGTATTAACACACTGCATGTGAGGTATGTTTGGTGGAGCGGTGGGACAGTGGTTAGCGTAATGCGCGATGAATCTGTCGACCCGAGTTTGATTGCCAGCCAAGGCAAACATCAGGGGTGAATGGATATCTGAACCAGTCCTGGTCCAATCTCCCCTTGACCAATCCACACCGGCCAGCGTAATTAAATATGGTTCAAACAATTTCCAAGACTAACACAGCATGAGAAAGGCCTTCACCAGCAGTGGATTGACACAGGGCTCTTAAACTTTAAAAAAATATTTACTATTACAGAACATGTTGTTTGCATTGTTGTCAGATGTAATTGCACACAAGAAAAAAAACGTAATACTCTCGTAATACCTGCGGTCAGTTAAACTGGAATCGCTTAGCTCTGGGAAAGGATGAAATATGTTTAAAGAAAAACACATGTTTTGGTAGTTCAGGTAAGGATTAGCACCTTTCATTTACGCTTGTATACACAGACCTTGTCAGTATGTCTCCACACCTTTTGCATGGACACACACACGTTGAAACACTTTGCAATTTGTTTACCCTAGGAAAGTTTGGAATGAGATTTATTTTACGTTTTAATTAAATATGTTTAACACATGCCGTATTTCAGTTTCTAATGGCAATTCTTTTTTTATTCAAGGCAAACTTCGCCAGGGTGACAGTTATTGAATAAATGCGGTTCATTTTGACGTCCATAGCATTTGAAAATGCAGCACCAATCTCTTGTCTGGCCAAGGGCCATGAATTGAATTGATTTATCAATAGGCTTCATAAGTCAGACTTGACTTATAGAGATATGAGGCTTGACATGAAGGAATACATCATTGCCCATGCTGCCACTTAAATAGGGCCACCTTTATTACCCAGCAGCAATAAGTGTCAGTAATTCTGCGTTATTCCTCGATTATTTGTCTCTGAGGGCCATGTGCTCCACGGGAACAATGCGGAACATGGTGTAGCACGGTGGGGGGGGGGGGTCAGCTGGGAAAGAGAGGACCTTGGTTCAGCCACACTGCTTGTGCCGAATCTTGTCTGCCACTTCCCTACTGATACGCTGCTGCTGCTGCTGCTGGAGCTTGCACACCCACGCACACTTCACTCGACACTGCGGCTCCGCTGAGTTGCCCCGTTAGCGCAGTGCAACAAAAAAAAAAACCGCTTCGAAAAATAATTTATTGCCTTCAATGTGTTTTTTTAATCCCTGTAAATCGTTGCAGAGAAACGTGAAGCTGTGCCTTCGTTTGCTACCTTTAATCGTGTAATGCGTCGTATGGTTTTTTCCGTCAACCAAAATACTGTATAGTTTGTTTTCTGTCTGGATGTACATTAACGTAGTTTTCACATTGCAGTTGCTGTTCAGAATAAATGATAATTGCAGACAACTGCAAACTTTGCTTGCAATGACATGAGACGCTAATGCTTGGTGTTCTTTTTTTAATCACAAGCCTTTTAACATTTGTAATGTTTTTTTTATTCACAAAAGTTAAATTCAAAGTTTATATATGACAAATAAAGTATGATAATTGGACAATTGTATGGGTTTTCATATAATGTCCTGCTCCTCCGATTAACACGGTTGGCTACGCAGGGTGCAAAAGAAGTTCAATCTACATACATTTTGTTTAGATGAAATGCATCCTACCTGGTGTGTATAGCAAAAAGGTGGCTGATATGCCATGTAGCCTCAAATGAATATCAGGAAACATCTGTGCAATAATTTGCACCTATTGCGAAGTCATGCAAGCATCACATACAGCCTGACGAAGATTCCGACTTTGAAGTTTTGCGATTGGCTTTTACAGCAGCATATTTTACCCAGATGACCCTTACTTGAGTTATTCAGGTTTTAAGAGGACATATCTGAAGCGCTATATATCTTAAGCAAAGTAAGATCACGCACTCGTATGCCACCTGGGCTCTCCTTTTCAATTGTACATTGTGCTTTGTAATCCGTCACCAGAACGTGTTCTATTGTATTGTTTCAGCGATTTCTCATTGACCACCGTTTAATCTAGTAGTAGGTTTTTACCCTTTAAACTGGTACAAAACTGACACCTTTATACAAGGCATCATGTTTGCAATAACCACAACACAAGCAGTCAAAATGCAAACAAAAAGAAACAACTCTGATAATGGTAATGATATGCACTGTCCTTGAAGTTGATTGATCCACACCCGAGACAGCTTTTCTTAGAGCCTAGTCTCCATTGGTATTGGACCAGATGACGCCAAAAGGCGTACAACTCAAAAACTGTGCACTATCAGAGTATTGAGAGCTCGGGGTAAGCATTTACACTATGAGACCTCCTTTACCAGTGGCAAAATATAGTGATAGGTTTTTACCCGTTTAATCGTTGAACATGTTGCGTGCAGGCTGTAGGGTTGTGTTCATCTCTGGAGCTGAGTTTGCACAGGCAAACTCACTCGCTCTGGCATACACAGTCAGTGGGTGCCAGAACAGAAATTGCTACCACCTAACGTGACAACACATGTGGCAGTGCTGGTTTATTTGTCCGGCGAACTAGAGCGAACTGTTTGATAACCCACCCATTTAAAACGGTTATCACAAAGTTCGCTTTTGTTTGCCACTTTGAGGAATTGAACCACTAAAAGCTTTACCGCCTCATCCGGTCTGGGTTCATGGACTAAAAAACGTGGACACAGGCACGCACACGGGTTTGAGACATCCATTATTCCATAAAAGTCAAAGTGATTTCCCGCTTAAGTAAGCATTTAGCGACAACTATCTGGGGAAGAGAACGATGTGTTGTCCTATGGGTAAACGCCCCCACCATAGGAATATGGAATGTTCACAACTGGCTCAGGGCTCTTAAACTGGAGATTAGCACCACCCCAAGTATGCGATCACACAATAATGATGATATCGAAAAATACATTGTGGAGCAAACATCATTGTAATTCCCCTTTTATTAAGCGTCGCTGAGCCTCAAGACTCCATGGCCCTTTCCATTTTGCGTTTGGCATGTGGAGGACCAAAAAAACGTGGATATCCAAAGAAACACTCACATTCGGAGGTTACACACTCAAAGCTCCACACAGATATATTTAACTTTTAATCCATTGTCGTTCTGCCATTTCCTGATCACCTTGCAACCCCAGCCTACTTAATAAAAAAATTCGTGAAGACAAACAAAATATTTAATGAGCAGAGGCTGACTTTAACTTGACTATGTTGTTGAGAATGGGCCATTGTTGACGAGTAAGAACCTGCCATGGGCTACAAGGCGCAGCCGTGGAGGCAGCATAATATCCAATCACCTTTGTTTCTGCCCCAGAACATACCTTAGCACACACCTTATCAAAGCACACGGGGTACTCAAAGTTGACCCACGGAATGCCCTTATCGGGCAGAACATCAATTGCCTTTGATGTTCATTGGCGAAAATCAGACTCATTTTAGTAAAACATTCGGTAAAAGTTACAGATATTGGGGCGCTGATATGAGACGGTGGTATCGCATTCAGAGGTTCACGGTTCGAATGTTATAACTGTAAAAGTGTGTTCCGTCTGCTTCACAGTAGACGTTAAAGATCGCGTGACATCGTTTAACAAGAGTAATAACGTTGTGTACCAGTGTCGTGGTCCAAACTTTACAATTCAAGGAAAATACTCACAAATTGCTCAAGGGGGTTGATGCACAGCAATTATGGCCCACTCACTGCTGGGAAACTGTCCCAGGGCCCTCCTGAAGAAACGTAAACAAAAATAATATTAATAAGTTATAATCAAGCTACTTTCGAAATTAAAAAGGTTGTCGATGTACCCTATGGAATATGTAAGTCGAACAGTACCAGTATACGTGCCTGACATTTACATAAAAATACAAATACATCCCACATGGATAAACAACTGTGAACTGGTTTACACTCACAAACATCATGATTAACCATACATGTGATTATGTTACGTAATGAAATAGTGTGTAACCAAATCCAGTCGTTCACAATATATTCCTTGAAAGAAAAGAAAAAGTATTTTTAAATAATCAAGCAATATTTGTATTATTTTAAGTGGAGCCTTGCAATAGTGGGATTAACAATGAAGACAGGAAATAGGGCTTGCCACTGGAGCCCCTGTGAGCACACCCTGATCATTTCCTCGGCTGTCTTGTCATTAAGACAACGCTGTTATCTCTATAGCGACACATCATTCACTGTAAAATAAAAGTCTGTAGAGCTATACTTTAGATACTTCAATAAGGGGCTGTTCAAAGGCCACTGTAGCGGGGTATTTTATCAGCCTAGACAAAATAGCGTGGTAAACACAAAAAGAAAACTTGTTTAAAATCAGGTTCATATGACAAGCATTATCAACTTATGGATTATCGCTGACACAATATGCTGTTCCTTATGCGGGTAGGCATGACCTTAAAGGCTATAGGGCCAGTACAATGTCTGATCTGATTTATTTTGTCGGCGCCTTTTATCCGCACATTTCAAAGGCACTCTGCAGTGGTGTGAGACTCTGGTACTCGATGCCGTGGCATGTTTAGGAGTTTCCCCTATGGCAGTTAAAACAAATACTCTCCTTTAATGTAATCATTGCATTAAAGGGGCCCAAAATGTGGGCATGCGGCCAGGAAGGACATGGGAATTAATTGTCCTGGCATCCTTATTTTCTTGCCGCATTACCGCAAAATTTCTCACGGCCAATTCTGCGCGTTCCGTGAACAGGGAATGAGGACGCCAGCCCTCCAGTTTACTGCGACGGAGGGCATTGAAACAGCAGCGTGGCACAATGATCCTGCGGTGAACTCTTGTGAGCAGACAGATTCACTGGCCCAATGCCAAGCCTCGTATTCTACCCGATCCCGAGAGGCGATAAAGCACATACCTCATTTGAGTCGGTTCACTGCAACTGATGGTGATGCGGTGGATTGGCATTACGGCGGCATTAGAAAGTGGTCG